TAGACATCTTACATGTAAGTCTTAGCTCATTGTTTCCTGAAATATGAACCTTAAATTTTTCGTATTCTTAAATAGCCTAATTTTTTTATGTTTTTAATGGGTTCAAACAGACTGAGTAGATTATTTCTCGGTTAAAGCAGGATGAATATTCTTTATTGAAGGAAATAATATTGCTTTTTGCAAATACACATCACCGTATCAACGCTACTATTTTGTTACGTTTTGTTCCAAAAATGTTGCATGTCTCTTGGGAGTTGCTTAATTGTTATGTCTTATGGAGTTGTATGGTTTGATTGTGTTTCATATAATTCTCAGTTTACTCCATGAACTTGCCAAGATTAAGAAACGGCAAAAGAGTTTGGGTGTTCTTAACAAGATTTCAGAACGTTGCAGAAGCTAGAAGAGCTTCACAATTCCGTTGTGACAGCATGCCCTAATTCAGAACTACGAACGATCCAATGACGATCCTTCGCGATGCAGTGGTCTCATGAAATAAGGAAACGTATTCGTGCTAGGAACACACGCGAACTTCGGACGAATGAATCTTGCTTGTATTTTGTAGATATAATAATACTTTGTTTCATAATAAACAATTTGTCAAGTGTCATTTATTTACTGGTAATAGTGCATGTTTCAGTCGGGCAAATCTTGATTAATATTTGATACGCTGATTTTTGCATATTTCAGACACATCCAGAAATATCCTCCCGAATTTAAAGATTAATATCTCCGTGAATTTTTAAGTGAAATACAACTGTAATATATCAAAATCTAAGTTAGTCCTTCCTCTATTTGATGCAAGTTATTTCTCTTTAAAAGCTATACTTGTTTAGATGTTATTACGAATCAAACAGGAGTACTTTTTTTGGGCCACCCGGTATATACTGTAAACCTCAAACTTTTTTTTTGCCCATCCCCCTGCAAAAACTTTTTTGGGTATTACGAGCAGTTATTGTTACTTATGATTATTTCCTTTGGGGTACCTTAAGGACAAAGTATACTGTACACCATCACAAGATATCAACGACCTTCGTCAAAGGATACAGAATGAGGCAAATGTCTTCTGAGATGCAAATGTCTTCTGAGATGCAAATGTCTTCGCAGAACTTATCCAAAGAACGAACTTGTGTGAACTTAGAAATGGAGGCCACTTTGAGTAAATGTGTACTTCTAACTTATTTTTTGGAACGTTTAAATAAATTGTGAATTCAAGACATCTACGTTTTTTTAATTTTCCAATTGCACTTACTTAAATTGACACAGCTTGCCAGCAATAACTCCAAATTTTATAACATAAAGTATATCAAATAGCCGAAAGATCGCGATTTCGAACGAATGCAAGTATAAACATCTAACTTTCATATTTGCTTTGAAATTTACACTTCATGTGAGGACTCTGTTTGTTTTTATAACCCTGTATTCTTAATTCTTAGCTCAGTTACCTGGCTGGAGAGCAATTGTTCCATTAAGTCCAGGTATCCATTCTTAACATAACTGAGCAGTCTTGTGGTTGTGCCAAACATAGGCATGTCTTCCTTACATGTCACATCCTTAGTGAAATGCGACTTGGGAGCAGGTAGGTGTTGACCTTTGTGTAGGAGTAAATCTTGCCAAGCAATTATTTCCAAAAAACTTCTGCATTTTCACATGCGGAACTGTTGGATGCAGGGTAAAAGTGCTCCAAATTTTATTTAACAGATTCAGCAGGAACGTCTTTCCACTATTTGCTGGTTCGGCAAGCATTAGATTTCTATACTTTCCTCACCTTTTCAAATGCAACTCTTTAACATAGCAGCTAAATTGCAGTGTCTCCAAAGCAAAAGTTTCTCATTCCCCGTGCCTTTTACAGGTGCATTCTGTTCTCAGAACCTCGTTTAGGATTTCCATGCAGGATTTTTTTTCTTTAAATTGTTGCCTCTGCACAGGGGCGGATCCAGTTCCTGAGCTGACTGATGCCTAAGACCTTGCATTTGTAGGGTGGTCCGGCGGTATCCTCCCCCGGGAAATTTTGAAATCTAGGACCTCGGAAATGCGATTTCCTGCGTTCTGAGCGAACTCTTTTGTTCCAATTCATACATCAGAGTCACAAAATTATTTGCTGCATTTTTGGAAAGCATGTAAAAAACTTGAACCTATATCATAAAAACAACATCATTTCTCTATATAAGAAAACAATATTTGCTTGTACAAGTGTAATAGCAGCAGTTGTACATAAGTCTCTATTCAAAAATAATCAGTACTGTGCTTCTTGTAGCCTTAACTCTTCTATTCAAAAATATTTCGGCAAAAAATCACGAGCAACGCAAATACACACATGCGTGTAATAAAGGTGTCTACAGTGTGATCCACTAGTTGCATTGCTGGACTCAGAAGGCAGTGTTATTGTGTTGTTTTTTTAACCACCTTCCCTTATCAGTTTCCACTAATTTCCAATGTTCCATGAGTAAAATCTTCTAGCATTAGAATGGTGCATAAAAGTATTTTGTGCTCTAGTGGGTAAACTTATTTATATACAATTCTGTCTTATGCCGCTAATCTTACTCTGTATGGACAGTGTGGTTGACATCAGTTGGTCAATTTCATTAAATTCATTCACCCCTAGCTGCCTTTGACATGAACTGCATGGTGAATAGCCCACACTCTAAATACTGAGAATATTGCCCTGTGACCAGGAAACCAGTAAACTAACACACAAGCTGCACAGTAGTATTGATGAATATTTTCCCTGTGTTATTATATAAATGCACATCTTTGTCAAATATATATCCATATTCTTATCAATGGTAATCCTCAGGGTATATAGTATTGGGACGATTAGCACCACAAATATATAATTTAATTAAATATATTTTCCAAACTATCCCACTTTTGTGAGCAAATTTCATAATTATATCCTATATACACCAGTTACAGTTACATACAGTATTTATACCGTCCATCATTTTATCATTCTAAGATTAAAATCTGTCAGGAGAATGACATATACAGCTTATATCAAATTATATTTGCACAGACAAAGCATATATACTCAACTATGGTAGGCGAGCAAGCCCAGGTAATCGTCTTTGTTTGCAAAATATCCAGTGTACAGTAATTGCCCAATAACTCAGGCAATGCAAAGCAATTAGACTCTTGTCATGAGGCATATATGCCAGCTCATTTCCATATAAAATGAAAATAATAAAATGTAATAGGAGATACCATCTTCTACCAATATTGCATCACTATTAGAAATCTCATTAATATTAACCTGCAATATTATTATGCACTGTAATTACATACAGAGCCTGATGCAAGTCTTGACCCACACCATAGTTTTATTTTTAGTACCGGTATCCAATCAAAATGTGTCAGGAGAAATGTCAATTTCACATAATTTAACAATCACTAAATCTATAATTAATCATATATAGCATTAATTAACCAAAACATCAAATATGGCATGAATACTCATGCTAGAAATAGCCAATCAGAGTTACAACCATAAAGGCAGTTGTAGGACACAAACGTTTACTAACATGTGTATCAGGTAGGTCTTCATTTTTATTTGCCTGCCAGCTGTGTGAAAAATGAAGGTCTGGGCACAGCTTATAATCCCATGTAAACAGAGATGAAATTTGCCTCAGTAAAGGAAGCTGTCAAGTTTGGTATTGGGGCTGGTTTGCCTCCAGACAAGCAAACCTCTGTTACTCATGAGTATAAAAGATTGTAAACTGTCAAACTACCTCACTTGATGGTATAAGCAACAGTATTACATAGACACAAACTTTAATTATTATGTTAATGAAGTTGAATATGTTGGAAAAGAGACAGATAGTTAAAATCGAACAACTGGCAACTAAGCAAGAGAACAATAACTTGGAACACATTTTTGTGGCATATATTTTGGGCAGAGAAGTGCTCGAAAACAGTTCCGGCCGAACTGTCTAGAGGCTCTCGCTAACCTAAGTTTTATCTAGAGAAACAGGCGAATCTCTAGACTGCAGAGGGCATGCTTGGCTCTGTGCATGTCGTTCAGCGAGCTGAGACCTAGTTGGACTGGTGAACAACTATTGGTATAGGGCACATTACCCAGGGTACTCAAAGCTGGCTGGGGATACACGCAAAAACTGTAGGTTGTTCTAGAGGAACAGGCGGACCTCTAGATAACAGGGGAACAGGCGAACCCCGTTCAGATCCGTCAGGCCGTCGACATTGAGACCTAGTTGGACTGGTGAACAACTATTGGTATAGGGCACATTACCCCGGGCCGCAACTGATAACCTGACTGACCACATTGAGTCTCTAGGACTGCTCATTCAGGTCTTCAGTGCAACCTGAATGAGCAGTGATTGCGCTTCACGTGGTGAAGTGTTGTCCATCGGACAGCACTTCCCTGCCATTAATGACAATCTATACGAAGTATAGATTGTCGTTTCCGCCATGGGAAGCAGCGCAGAGTCGACCGGGTCGGCAATAAAGTGAAAAAAGGGGTGGTTAAAGAATAAAATTTTTTTTTTTTTTTTTGCTTTGGGTTTAGCATGTCAATATTAGGCAGATTCGTTAAATTTTTGAACTTTGTTGTTGTTTTTATATGAAAGAACTAATTGCAGACCCGTTTCAGTTCATTGCCGACGCGGCCAAGTCCGGCTATGTCAATTTAACAAAGTCAAAAGGCCCGAGGTTCACTAGAGAATGCTGTTCACTTGATGCTGACACTTATGCTAAGGCTGGGTAATCAGGGAGACCAGGAAAAAACCTGCAGTACAGGAAAACCTGGGTAGGGCCAAGACCACCCGCAGCTCCCCACATAGCTCTATCTTTACAAGTGTAAGAAGAATCAGCATCATGGTAAACAGCACCGTACCTAAGACTGCAAACGATAACGTCGGAGCGAGGGCTATATATAATAGTAGCATAGTGTTTTTACCCTTTTACTCTGCGGGTTTACAAGTAGGCTGGCATTTTGAACTAGCTGCTTTTTCTACAACCAGTATAAAGTGTTTATAACCATTTTATTCCTGCAAGTATCCAAGTTAGGTTATATTTTGAATTTGCCATTGTTTAAACTGGATTATAGAAACTTCTGAGCGTTATAAACTACTAGTTAAACCTCAGTAAAACCTCGTCCTCGCAATTCATGCAGAAACATTACAATACATATAGACAGTTCATAGGTTAGAATGTTTTAGAGTTCATAATCGAGCGATGATGCTGCAATCCGGGAATAGTCTTCGGTTCAGATAGCAGGAGTGAACATCACCAGAATGCATTCGAGTTTGTTGTTCGCCTTAAAAACAAAAGGAAAGACGCAAGAGAAAAAACGAGTGCTCTACCTGTACAGTGAGAAATTTGTGGAACTAGGTGATGAATGTATAGGTGGAAAGATAACTGAATAGTTAACCTGCATCTAAGGACGAAAAACGGACTCGTATTCATTTATGCAATGTTCGTTCCTCAAATTCCAAGATCTGATTGATTATGTTAGTGAATATACGCTAATGCCAACTAAACTGCCTTATAAAGCAACTTATGCATGCGGATTATTGTTATATGATATGGATGAAAATCAATTATTGCTTGCCTCTGCAATTTCCATTGCCAGGCACAGAAAGCGAGCATACATGCATGATGGATCTAGCTGGAGTGTACTGTATAGTACATATATGACAACTTGAAACAGTATAGTGTTTCTCTCGGATTGTGTTTGCCATGCATTTTGGTTGTTTATGCATCCAACTGATGCACAGTCTGGTATTATATAGGTGGGTTTCACTAAGTGTTATACAACATGGGGAACACAACTTTACATTCATGTATTGAAGAATTATACCCACATTACATTGGGGGCTTGTCGTAGTCGTATTAGCGACTACATGTATGTATGTAATGGTAAATCGCGTGCATTTGCAACCATAGAGAAAATAACCGAAACACAACTGTGTTTCTTTTTAGAGGTGTTTAAAGTGCAGAACTAATCTCCTATTGACAGATATCTTCAGGCAAATTGTATTATTGCCAGCTAGTCTACAATTACAAATAGTACACCGTTATTGTGACTTTGTCTTTGGCACTTTTAAATATGTATGCGATGACATTGTAAGTCGTTAGTATTATTACCTATGTGCAATCCAATGGCAGTATAATTATAGCCAGTAAAGCAATTATTATTAAAAGGCAAACGATTTTGATAGTTGAAATATTTCCACTTCAATGTACAATTGCCCTTAGCATTGCCCTATTCATATAAAGAATATTGCAGATTTACGAGATGTATGAATTCCTTTCTGGCTTGCGAGTTGTGACCTGATGACTGACCGAGGTCTGCAAAACATCAACTAATAAACTGTATACATGCATGAAGTCATTCAGTCACACTTTTTTTTATATCTGAGAAGAGTGTGGGGAACCCATCTTCTCTTCGAATCTTGCCACGAGAAATAGTTGCGTATGCGAGTATATTAGTATAACTATTCGCTATACGATCGATCGAGCTATAAGTTTCAAGTTTGAAAGACCCGAATTAAACATGTGTGTATCGACATTCAATTTATTCAGGATTTAGTCCCATTTAGTCACACTCAATATTAACAACACCAAGTATTTTGCCTAAGCATGCAAATTTAAAAGCGGCAGCCAGTAAGATTCAGCAATTTTGCTTATGCTTACGTCTCGATAATGATATTAATGAGGCCATAAGTCCGCCTTCGTTCCCAGATGCAGGTCAACTAAAATGACGTGTTTATATATACGCCGTGTATATGATATGTGTATGGTAAAACTATTGCGCAAATTGGTTATATGACACTCCATAAGTGCGGGATTTTCCCCGGCGAGATTAATGGAAAATAACTGGTTAATCTTATTATACATAGCTCGTGATGTGATGCAGATGGAGTTTTTCGAGTTATTTGACTCACAAGTCACAATAGCACCATAGTTCTTAGTAAATACGCAGCCATGTGTGGCTTGAATTTAAGGAAAGATAAAATAAAGCTGTGTGTAAGCCATGGTATATGTATGGTTTATAGTGTAACAAAATATACATCTGCACAAAGAAAGCATTTAATTTGCTACAGCATAACCTTTTAGTTGGGATCTGGTGAGGTCGGTTTATATATGAACATCTCAATCATTTTAACTAGGATAAACCGTCCTTATAACTAGGATAAACCGTCCTTGCAACTAGGATAATAAAACCGTCCTTATATTATGACAAACCATCCTCATATAACAAGAAAAACCACGTCTTTGTGCTGGGTGTAATTTTTTGTAGTTGAATACATGTTGTTCGTACGGCTGGCATGATACAAAGTATTAATAATAGCTATAGAACTGTGTTAAGACTTGTGCACAGGAAATTAAGTGAAATGCAGCAAACAGTGCATTATGAATCGTGACTCGTGTGTATAAAGTAGCAGTACGATAAGGCTGTATTACAGCTGTTATAACAGATCTAGCCTAAGATATTCCAAAACAGTTCCCGCCTGAGCGAATGGCGGATGCGACACAAGTTCGCATACAATATTAATCTAAATATGCAGTTAATTACGTGCTTGTTTGTATGGTATTAAATTAAACAAAGTATAGCAATAGCATGCAACTGGAGATAATAGGATAGCACGTAACCTTGAGTAGGCGCAAATGCATAGCGTACTAATACAATACAAATTGTGACTCATGTTGGACAGCAGAAGAGCAAAATAAAGTTATATATTAATAGTGTAATATAGCAGTAAATTCAAGAACGTTATATTAGAGAAGTATATAAACAATATGGAACAAACTCACTCCGTTTGAGGTCACAGAACGTGGATTGCAAGCGGCAACATTCTGGTTCTGGAACACTGCATGCATGGGATCTTGTGCGTCTCAGGGAAACTGTGTCGTCCTTGGACTTGTGATCTTGCGCATTGCTTTGCCATTTGTTCCAAGATTGGTCTGTTGTTTTTTTTAAATTTCCACTTCTTTGCCAAGGTTTCGTCCCTTAAATTTTAGCCAAAAATTTTTCCAGATATGCTAACGCACTGGCTAAAGTCTTGCGAATGAGCAGTGCACGTCGACATTGCGATCAAAAGTCCTTGCGCAAAGAGGGGGCCATTGTACGTATGCACGTGAAGGAAAAAACCTTCAGGATAATTTCCGATTGGTTAATCCCAAGTTTGCATCAGTTGTTCATATGCTTAGCAGCCAAAGTTCGATATTTATCAGATATTTTGTAATATTAACAGGGCTAGAAAACGGTTCCCTTGTTCTGCCAAGGTACTTGGACCTTGTACGTACCTGGTACGGATTAATTGTTGTGACGCAGATGCATTGGCAGACTGAAAGCACCCTCGGGCAGATAGAGCCTTCAGAACATATTACTCCATATAGCTTTGCTTAAATTGATTATTTTGTTTCTTCAGTTCTGGTGTAATCGCTCTGGTTCAAACCATTCTATTTCTATTAACTGTGGTTTCACTAGTAATCTGCTACTATATCGTTGTGGGTCATGGACTGGTAAACATAGCATGAATCACACATAACCGCCTGCAATTATGAGTAAACCAGTGGTCAGAGTTTTGTCGATGAAAGTAAACCAGTCGATATGCCATTCGATTGGCTAAACAGAACAGAACACGAGGACACACAGAATATGTTTATAACTTTGTGTGACTGAATCATTGTGTTAGCAATAGAAGCATTTACATGGATTTCTTGTTTGAAGGTTTGTTTAAAAGTATATAGTCTGAAAAGTTATAAATATAAGCTATTTCTACTTACTCTATACGCTTTCATCATTCACTACAGCAGCAGCATCGGCCACCACAGCCCTTGCCATAGCAGCCACAGTTGCAACAGCAGCCGCTGCAGCATCAACAGTTGCCACAGCAACAACAAAACATGAACATGACAGGTAGAGTAGACGGTCATTCATTTCAGGAGTTTGAATACAGACCTGCTCAATCAAGATCACTACGACAGCAAGCAACCAGAGTTAGATGCTCATTTGCTGATGGCAACAGACAGTTTCACCCAAATTCTCTTTCAAATCACATTAAAACAAAGCATGTTGCAGATGGAAGAAAGGGAGTAAGTCATGTCTAGATTTTTAAATGGACTTGTGTCGATATCTCTCAAGATATTTACATGGTTCGCAAACAACTCTGAGGAACTGATCATCCCATCCATTGTCAGTTCAAAACAATGTTACCTACCTCCACATTATTTGTAGTGTGGATACCTGCCAACAACACAGCAACACTGCTTGTAGAAGTGGTCAGTCTAATTTCCTTGGTGATCACTTGAAATCCACACATTGTAATTGCTAATCACTTGGAAGAAAAATCTCTTGATTTTGTTGTAAATTGCTTGAGATGGTTGAAAACAGAGTGGAGACCAGAATGTCTGGAGTGGCAAACAAGCAAGCATCAACAATGTTCCACTTGTTGTTCAAATGCCTGTCACCCCAGATTCAATCCACTTGTTTGCTTTATTTTTCAGTGCTTGCTAACATCAAGAGGGAACCTTACTGGTCCTTTTGTAAATGGGTGGTGGTTTAATTTGACAAGTAATCCTCTTCATTCCATTGCAAGTGCTGCCCTTCTCGCCGCTCCTGTATACATAAATGCATTGTGAAATAGTTTATTGGGCAGCGGCATCCTTCTGTTATTCATACATATAGTACAGGGTCATGGATGAAGACGATAGTGCTTATACCTCTGGCCCAGATTTCCTTTTAACTGATGGTGTTGCTGACATGGTTGAAAATCATATCAATTCTTCCATTGCTGCCAATATAGCGTATACCCCTGTTTGAGATGTTTCTACCAAATTTGTTAAATACTTATTAACTGAGAAGAAAATCCCTGCTGAACTCCCATTAGCTTTAACAGTCCAGAAAGAAGCATTTTGTAAAAGGTATATAAATATACATGAGTGTGGTTGCTTTAAGATCTATCTGTTGTAGTAATGCCAGCGCTGCTGTAAGGCATCTAGATCCCCAGCTCCCTCCATATTGTCCATGGTTTACTACAGGTTACATGCAGCCAGTTTGTGCAATGACAGATTGAGCCAGTGGGACTTGCTAATACATGTGTATGTTTTTAATTCTTTTCGAGTTATATTCCAACAGAGACAACTTGCTTTTATTGCAAAACTCCATTAACTGGGCCATACTGTGTTACTCGGAATGCAAAATTGGTAATTCCCTTAAGGGAATAGTTGAAGGTAAAGTACAGTACTTTAATGAGCCATAAATTATCTAGGAAAAACCTATATAATTTATATGTACAGAATACTGTATATTTTGATGCTCTGTGATGCTTGCTTTGTGATGAAATCTTGCTTTGTGACATGTGAACACACAATCCAACTTAAAATAAGTTTTCTCATTGGGACTTATCATTTCACAGGAATATCTGTGTATGTAAAATTTTGTGGCAACTTTAAACTTCCATACAGATATCAAGAGTTTTCTGATGGTGTACATAATTTCAATGACAACTGGCTGCTCTGCCTTGGATGTTGTGATATGTCAGAAAACATCTCCAGGTATGGCACAATATAATCTGTTATTCACCTCAAAAAAGAGTTATACAGTAGGCTACATATTATGCTTAAATTTGCTTTTCAATGTCCAATGGAAACTTATGTTAATTGACCTCTGTTAGACAGTGGCGAAGCCAGCGTGGGGTGAGTGGTCATGCAAACCAGCGCCGAAGGCGTGAGACATCCTAGGGGTGTCCGGGGGCATAGACTCCCAGAAACGCTATTTGCAGCAATCTGAGCATCAAATTTCAGAAAATAACTTGACCTAATGAAGGAAAATATGTGGATATTTTGGCATATTTCAGACAACAATAATGAAGATCAACACAAAAATAGAAAATCTGTGATCTGCAGTTCCGCTAATTATAGTCATACCGGCAATTGTGTATTTCTTTTCGATACATAATGACAAATAGCTGCCAATACAGTCAGTATAATCTACAATATAGGTATAATATGCAGACTTGGTCACTTGGAAAATATAACACATGAGCTTGGATCAATTTCCTTAATTTAAAATCAATCGCCCAATTTATTACAATATTAGATACGGAAAGGAATTAGGCATAATCAGATGTTCGAGTTGAAATTTTACTGTCAGTTTACGGGGAGTATGTACCAAATGGTAAATACAATTTAACAATATATATTGAAATTTCTTTGTTTGTTTCACAAACAAGTATATATCAAATATTTTTTTCTGTGTTGATGTAGTGTACTCAGGTGAATAATATGATTGGGATGTTACTCTGAGTGCATATCCACACCGGGCGAGCTTGAAAAATATGCCCGGCCACGGTGGGATTCGAACCTACGACCTTTGGAATACTAGCCCAATGCTCTTCCAACTGAGCTATGCGGTCAGGACCTGACCTGACCGCGTAGCTCAGTTGGAAGAGCATTGGGCTAGTATTCCAAAGGTCGTAGGTTCGAATCCCACCGTGGCCGGGCATATTTTTCAAGCTCGCCCGGTGTGGATATGCACTCAGAGTAACATCCCAATCATATATATCAAATATGTTGCTAAATCACAATTGCTAAAATATTTGTGTTGCGTGTTGAAGTGTATGTATAAGCCTTGCAGCGCTATTTATATAACTACATTGTTTACTACATTGACCTCGACATTGACATTGTATTTCATATTATACAGTTATACTAGCGCCTCGATGCTTTATATGCCTATGCTCAGGTTGAAAGCTTAAATATTCAAGACAAAATAACAATAACTAAATAATACTAATAGCTTATTTAGCCTAAACCATTCTTTCTTTGAATACCATGACATTTGAAAACCTTTCCCGATCGGGCATGTCGAAAGATCTGGCGTTGGTTTCTGCTTGATAAACAATAATTTTCTGCTGAGCAGAAAATGGTTTTTTCACTAATTCCCAAACAATATCGTTAGCTTCGAGTGAAAAAGAAGTTGACATGCTTGAATGACCTGAAGACGTGTTCATCCAGGCTGAACGCTTTGAGCTAAGAGGCTGTGATCAGGTTATGTTGTCCGTTTAGTGATGCAAATCGAAAATTGCATGACCAAGCCGTCAAAAACAGCCGTATTGCGCGTGCACGAACGTCATAAGCTAATCGGAAACCAACAAACCTAATATAAAATAATATAGCTAGTCATGAAATTCTGAAAATGCATGACCAAAACCCACAGTGAGGAAACCACGCAGCAATACACGCAATTGTTTTCCACGCGCTAACGCAACCGGTCATGCATGTGAAAATATGCAGGACCGCTCAGTTGCCAAGGTAACAAAGCCAAAATCAATAACATACGAGAGTATTTAGCGAAAATATCGACCTAAAGACCACTGATTCGGGTAAACAAAATAATAAATAAATACTTAGGCATAGAAGTGCAAAGATAAAGTATAATTCTATTGTAAACAATTATACTGAACTGATTTTTAAACATTTTGGGGGAAATTTTTAGTCATGCACTGCATGACCGCTGGCTTCTCCACTGCTGTTAGATCGAGTTGTACTGCAAAAAATTAAACCTGCATGTCTGGACAATGCAGCCAAATATTTACCTTAAATGTTTATAGGTTCGCAATGCTGTAAGCTGAACAGTAGAAGCCAGTTATCTTTTGCATGTGAATTGAAGATAATTTGCCATTCATATCTTCTCTGGTGAAGATATCACTTTCACTGTATGCAACAGGAGAAAACCACCTGCTGTCTTACATCGATACTTATATAATTGACATGTAATCCTTTTTTAAAGTAAGTGAACTTGAGTTGTCAGACATGCAGTCTAATTCAAATCCTGACAAAGTTGATGCTGAGATGTTCTGGGAACAAGTAAACCTTGGAATACTGTACCGGGGAATACCAAGAGGTATATGCAGTGCTTGGGAGTGTTTTGTGAGATCTAACAAGTTGTGTTGTTGAGTTCTTTATTGACTGTTACTGAAAATAAAATGTATATAATTATAATAGAAACTTATTATTTAGTAACTGGGGCTGTTCATCCAATACACATAAAATATTGTCCAAATATTGTATTGGCATAATTTTGCCAATGATTTGATGTAAGTCACTTTTGCTGCCATAATCGTATCTAAAGCATGACTTGGTTGCGAGTGTGATCACATGCACTAGGTGTGATTAAGGAATCCAATATATAACTATTGTGTATCGACACTATCGTTAACACACCGGAAACACTGCAAGGCTGCAACATATGTCACACAATCATCCTCATCAGGGTGTTAGCCAGGCGGACGGCCACACGGTCTAAGGGAATATTTTCTTTAAATAGCAATTTACAAGCTTTGTAATATCTCTTGAATACTTGGAATTGTTGTCATCTGCTGTTTACTTTACTTATGGTATATGTTTTCATACTTTTCCCCCTCGGAAACACATTGAATATGCCTGAATTGAAGTACCAACAAACACGCCATGTTTTTATAATCATGTTGATGATTCTCGCATGAAGTATCAATGAGAATAATTTGAAACCGCTGTTTTAAAAAACAGCAATCGTTTTATTGCTCGAGCGCCACACTGCTTTATAGTTACAGTTACGATAAAGATGACTATAAAATTAGCCAAATGCAAAAAAAGGGAAAAAATATCGGTGATTGATAAAAAATAACTAAACACTACACTGCTGTATTGTGTTTTTCATTATAGCATATACTGTAGCCTACATCATAGTGATCATACGGTTCATACCATGTGTGTGCTTTTACTAATTTAATAACTGAAATGTGCATCTAAAACTAAAAAGGTTCAATGAACAGAACACTACAATTCCACAACAACAAAAACAATTCCACAACAACAAACATTTATGGCCACGTCCAAAAAATTATTTTGGAAGGCCACTTTTGAAATCCTGGCTAACACCCTGATCCTCATCCTCATAGATGCCGACTATGTTCGTAACTAATTTGTAGTTTAGCGATATTTTTATGTCTTTTAGTGTCAGTGTTGTGTTGAAAGCTTTGAGCACATGTAATTAGATCTATTTCTAAATAAATTAACGGACCACCAGCCTGGATTCTGTTTATCTCAAGAAAGCAACTAAACATTTATACAAAACGCTTTATTTTGAATAATACTATATACTCAATTTAAGCAAAGCTATAAATTGCAGTTAATGGAGTATTATGTTCTAGAAGACTCTATCTTCCCGAGGGTGTTTTCAATCTGCCAACACATCTGCATCACAATTAATCTGTACAAGGTCCAAGTACCTCGGTAGAACAAGGGAACCGTTTTCTAGTCCTGTTAATATTACAAACTATCAGATAAGTATAGGTAATAGCATGGTTTTGAGTGCAATTTGGATATAACATGCACAAGTGAGTTTTTGAAAGACATCAAAATAGCACAAGTCCAAAGTATGAGTGCTATTTGAGGTCATTGAAAAACTCACAAGTGCATGTTTTAGCTATTGTGTAATATTACGACTGGATAATTAAACTAAAAAAACAATACACACATGACGATGAGCCGATTGTTCCATGTATAAACCAGACAAAAACATAGATAGTGAGTTTATTATGTCTGCATCGAGTTCCCTAACCTTATTCTATTGAATATGATGTAATACTATATTTGCAGGTATTATATATATATGTATAATCATGAAAATATTGTGTGTTTTGTTTACTTTATAATCTTCTGAATTCTGTATAATCTTACCCTGAAAATGCAGGGAAATCGTATTTTGGACCCTCCTAGAAGTGTCTTGTGCCTTCGCCACTCAAAAATCCCCCCACTTTTAAAAGCTGGTGCCGCCACTGTAATTAATTGGCCCACACAGGCTTCAGGAGTCCTGCCCTCCCATCTGAACAGCTATATTCAAAAGTTTCCCTAACGTGTTGACACTTCGATTATACAAAAATTTCAGCTGTTGTGTACAACTTGGTTTGAAAAAATCATTGATTCCACTCTTATTCCTTTTTAGATCGGACTGAAAGTATATTAATTCACAAGCATTTCTGTGTTGTGCATAATACATCAGTGACAATATTTGTAGGCAGATCAGGCTGAAAAAACAAGCAGTAAACACCCATCCATCCCCACTTCATTGCTGTGAGATGACAAAAATTTAAACAGGATGATATGGTCTTGAAGATTATTCTATAAACATATCTGCATTGAAAGGGGGGATGAGGGTTGATATATCAAAATCGGCAAAATTGCTGTTAATTTTAAGTGTCCCTGTCCCACTGCTCAATGTCACTGAGTGTTGCTTAATCATGTAAAATGCTTTTTTATATAAAAACATCATATTCTTTTTTCACTAAAGAGGTGCTAGATGAGGTGACACAATTATCAAGTGTCATGACTGTTGGAGAGGACTTTTTCTCTCCTAATATAAGAGCGGAGTGTGAACAAATTATTCCACATATATGGTGTGAAACCCATGGATGCTGCTGATCCCTCTCTTTTCCTCAAAGCCCATTATCTCTAATTTTAATTTGCCAATGCCAAGATAGACTAATTGTATTTAAGAATAGAAACCGTGGATAGAAACATTGCGAACTGAATAATTGTGGCATTATATAGTAGCAAATTTGACATAAATTAGCTCATAACCAAAGAATGACACTGGTTATATATATATATATATATATATATATATATATATATATATATATATATATATATATATATATATATATATATATATATATATATATATATATATATGAAATACATGCATGCAACAACCCCTCGCCTATATTTTCCAAACATTGTTTCAACATGAAGTATTCGTATTTTACGCCAACACTGAACGGTTCACAAGCTCGTGTTGCCATGTCATGTTAGTCATGGCAACACGATAATTGCTTTTTTTATTTTTGTACAAACCTACAAAAAATAGATGAAATTTGAACACTTTTGGAACAGAGCGATCAATTTCTAAAATATATAAAGTAGGTATATTATTTTGGTTCCTATGGGCTTTATTTTAATGTAAAATTCAAAACGAAACTCTACGTAAAAGTTTTTAAATGTGAATTGAAATTAACTGCTTTTTGCCAATATTTATAAACTCCTCAACTCGAGCTTCAAATGAAATAAGTTTAATTTCGTACAGGATGCTAATGAAAATAATTTGCTTTCCTTTTTATCATGAACTTCTACAAAAGTTAATTTAACTAAAAAACTTTCACAAACAATGCATAGGAATGACTTGAACATCAAGAACAAAGTCTGTATTAATACAAAGTCATACATAAACAATTGATACGAACTCAAGATTTCTCATACTATATAGATTCTTATAAATGTTTACGTTTACAATTTGTTATGTGAAACGATTTTCCAAGCTTTCTTACATGTATTTTTTATATTTTTTGCCTTCTTCACTCCTGGCAAACAGCCATATTTTGAGATCAGTGAGATGACCACCCACCGAAACACGCACAGTGACCCACGCCCACTATCATTGATGAACTTTAGACAGTGCTAATGCTTTCATTTCCCCGGGTGTAGATATAGCCAGGCAAAATTGGTACCCTCACCCCGGGCTTACACCCGGAACGGCGCTCTGCGCCATTGGCTCGGGGATAAGATACATGTACTATAAATCCATACAAGAATGAAGATGGAGATTTTTCAGACTCTGTTTATGCCATATATGGAAGTACAATTTCTTCTTGTTTGAAACAATAAAATAATGGCATTATCCTACTTTCATATTTTGAGTGGAAATCACAACATAATAATCTGTGTATTGAAACAACAGTTTTCAAGAAACAAAAATCATTTATTTATATCAGTCATTGTCAAATTGAATTGGTCCTAAAGCTTGTGCTAATAAAATTTAGAGATTTCGCAGGAGATTTGAAACAGAGTATGGAGTTGGTCAGAGCCACATCCAAGATTTTTTAATGGAAAAGCTTTAGTGCCCCCAACAAATGCTAAATATAAAAAACTCTCAAGGCTGCAATCTGTCCCCCAAATCTCTAAATTTCATTGTTTTTAAAACCCAATTGGTCATGTTTGTGCCCCCCTACATTTGTAGCTCTTATATATAAAAGGTGCATTTGAGTACTCTGTATTTTGTCACTGAACTCTATGTCAACTTCATCAGGGGCCATTCATAAAAGATGTCCGAGCCAGGGGGGAGGGGGAGAAATCCAGACAAATCGGACATAGGGGGACAGGGTACTATTCAACGATCCGGACGTCCAATTTAGAAAAAAAAACAAAAACACAAATATTTATTTTTGTTCTATAAAACAAATACTAGAAAATACATGCATGCAGAAACCCTCGCCTTGCTGACAAAACCATTGTATTTCCCGAAAATGAAGTGTCTAAAGTAGTTGTCATGGTAACACGATAATTTTTTAAGAATATTCTTACAAATGAAAAATCACCTAAAAATATCACTTTTAATTACAACATTAATTTCCCAACATATATATATATGTTAAGTATATTATTAGCATGACAAAATTACTGGATGCTGATTGGTTGAGAGGAGTAAAATTATTTAATTAATTGTACTGCAGTACAATTAATGATTTTCTCAAAACAAACAAAATGGCGGAAAGGTATTTTAAACACAATTGCGAAATGAAATTGCCATGGAGGAACTAGATGAAAATACGAACAAAAGCACCAAGTTTTGCTTGAACAAAAGAACTAAATGAAAATACAAACAAAAGCACCAAATTTTGGTTGAAAGTCTGGCAGGACTGATGGGCTTTGGCGAGAGAATACAATGTTGACATTGAGAAGTACGTATCCAATTTTGTCATGCTAATAATAAACACGGCGGCTCGTCCAATTTTGGCAAAATTTCCAAACATCACTCGTACTATTAATCCCCAATTGTACTCGCCATCGCATGATTACCTATACTTATTATACATAATATAAGCCTCAATTTAAGGTAAAATTCAACCACAAATGCTTCGCAAAACGTTTTAAAGTTACTTGTGTTCTTTATAAAACTAAACTGCCTTTTAAAATGGCTTTATCAATAAATTTTGAGTTTGCACTAAAATTATTTCAAATTCTCGCTTGCAAATAACTTTGCTTTCTTTTTTATTTAAAAAATTCAATATCATAAAAAAGGGAATCAATATTAAAGATACACTGAAATTATATGCTGTCTTGTTTAGTTGTTTCATATACGCAAAGGCCATTTTAGCCGATTCTTTCACAGTTTCTTTCTGAGAGAGCTTTGAAATTTACAAAATCTTGAAAAAATGCGAGCAAAAATGAAATATGTTTGCAAGAAATTAATCAATCATCAAAATCAAGCAATGTTTGCTATTTCGCTGTTGTCATGCAGTCGTTACAATGCAAACTTTAAATTGGACCAATCAGTGTCCGCTATTCATGACAGTCCGCCATATTTTTGAGATCAGTGAGGATGACCACCCACCCAACACCCCAACATCGTTGGTCACCCACGCCCGCGATAATTGATGAACTTTAGACTTCGCTAATGCTTTCGTTTCCGCTTTCGGGTGTAAATAGCCGGGGGGAATTAGTACCCTCGCACTGCGCTTCACGCCGTCGACTTGGGGATTAAATGTGGAATAAATATTAAACAATATACATATTTTGGAGGATATTTTGTTTTTCAAGTCTGTTTTACAAAATGGATATATTTAGAAATCTAGCAAAACATGAATTTTGAAGGCCGCTTCAAACAGGGTAAAGAACCCCAGAATTACGGTCCTTCCTAACAGAGACCTAAGTTTCGAGTTTTTTTGAAGACATACTGGGAATCACCAAATTCGGACAAATGAGGGAAGGGGTGTGTTGCCAGACGTCCTTTGTGAATGGCCCCCCTAATATATATACATTTTACTACATTATGACACTGACAAATTCACCAAAAAATAGAGGACTTTGTTGCTAAACACTTTAGTTAAATGCCTCACCGAATGTGTTTGTGCTTGCTTTCGAGTATGGTCTTCAAGAGTTAAATTAAGTGTACCTGTTATTGTATGGACAGCCCTTTCATGGTATTTATTGATTACCCATTTTTCTTTATCTTTTGTCACTACAAGAAATGCATACCTGAATCCATCAGAAGAGAATTTCTCTGCATCCACCAATAAATCAAGAGAGTTTTCTAAAGACACCCATTCTTGATGGAACGTTTCTGATCTTAATGATACCTGATTCTTCACCTTAGGTTCTACAAGTTGTCCAGCTTTTAGCAACAAGTCTATTGAAACCAAATTTGGATAGCGGAGTTTCTGGTGTCTTACTGACATTTATTGGCTGAGAAAACACCACATACTTAGGCTCAGAAACCTCTGGGCTATCCAGATACCCATCACCTAATTGTTCTGTGACCATAAACTGGACAAGGTAAACCTGATAGAACGAAAATGAATTAACTTATTAACCACAATGAATTAAATTATTAACCACATAATTTTAACACCATTCAATGCCATTATTCAAGTGAATCTTCATACAAGAGATACAGAACAAATACAATGGATGAAAATGCCCCCACCCAAATTTCCAACAAGACCTTTAGATATGATTATGTTGTCCTTTCTTGTGATCCCCCTCTATCTTGATAGAACAGTGGACATAGCCAGGAGTTATAGTCAAGGGGGGCCAAAAAAAACCAGGAAGTGCCCAAGCCAGGGTGGAAAGTTTGTTGGTTGTGCTGAAGATATTCGGCGTGGAAAATTCATAAATTTGCTCCATTTTGGCACAGAATTATGGGAAAATGAACTAGTGTGGCGCACTGATGTACAGAAAAATATTTACTTCTGCACACTACAATGTTCTCCAACCATTTCTGTTTGTATTTCAACCATTTAATAAAGGGAATTTGATTGAGCCCTGACTGACCTATTCAGTCAAATGTTTAGTATCCTACAATCTTAAACAATACTTGTTGAGACCAAAAATCTAAATGACAGTTAGTATTTAATTATTGCATTAAATTGGGTTAAACTTTGCCACAGATTCTCAATACCCCTTTTCCCATGTCAATGTTGTTCTTTCTTGTCAAATATGTGTTACTGCATTTGAAAATAAACATTTTCACGTTGTATGCAACATTGATTCGGGGCAAGGGGGGTTAAAAATATGAATTCTCAACAGCACTTGTCGGGATGTAATTGAAATACGGTTGGCATATGTGCACAGCAGGTGGAAAGGGGGGGGTATGGCCTCAGTGATGCTGGCTCATATAGAATTACAACATCCGGAGACACATGCTTACATTAAATACAACAGAAATACTCCTGTTGTGGAATTGATGAGAGAAACTAAAGTCTTTCAGGCACAAATTTACAAGATTAAGAAAGAGCCGCTTCGAACTAAGATAATTTCAAAGAGATTCAAAGGTCCTGGTGGTCGTCCTGAGAAACTTAGTGTATGTGACAAGAGAGCTTTGTTAGTGTTAAGGATAAATCTATACGAGTAAAGTTTGCAAGGAAAATGATCAAAGAGTACGATATAAATGTTTGGACCAAAGATGTTGCCTTTTATCTTGATGGCGTCAGCTTCACTTACAAAAAGAACCTGAAGGATCAAGCAGTAGCACCAACAAGAAGAGTGCAGAAAGGCGAATGAAGATCTTTTAGCAGGATGCACTGCAAAAGGCAAAAAGTGTGGAGCTGGAGGCAAGACTGCAAAGTTAATAGTTGCGATTTCCTATGGCAAATGGGTCATTTGTTGCGAGTGTTACGAGAAGATGGATGGCATGTTTTTTGCATCATTCACTAAAAATAAATGCAAGAAATTGATGAAAAAGTCAGCAAAGCGTTCTCGGTTACTGGTTCAGGATGGAGATCCTTCCTAGAACAGCGCAGCTGTCAAACATGTCATTTTCATCTCTTAAATGCCCATTGCTTGCTATACCACCACGAAGTGCAGATCTCAACCCGATAGAGAACATCTTTCACTTAGTGAGTAAACAGCTAGAGAAGGACGTGTTGGCAAAGGACATTTCTTGTGAGAGTATGGACGATTTCAAACAGCACATGAAGGCGACTTTCATGAGCCATTTTCCCCAAGAAAGAAGTGATAAAACAATATTTTCAATGTCTTCCAGGATAAAAGGAATAATTTGTGAGAAAGGAGAGCGCCTGAAGTGTTAATTAAATATACAGTATAGACAGTCCTCATTTAAACTATATTGTTTTGCCAAAAGAACACTCATGTACTGGCAAATTTATTTTGATATTTTAACGATAATTTCTTGGTCTATTTGTGTCAAGGTCGAGCTGAAACAATGAAAAAATAAATATATGTTCTTATTGGATGAAGCAGTTTATACATGTGCATTGTTCTTTTAATATTATCTTAACAAACAGAATCATTACAAAGTTGTTTTTCAAAATGTGCACCATAATAAACTGTTTACAAAATAACTCGGCATTCCACAGTTGTCTTACCACAAAATCCTAAATATTTGAACCAAGCGTTACCAGTTCAGAAAAGCACCGTTTGCAGGAAGGAATTTCCTTTTGCGTACTCTCTGGAATTTGATAAAAAAAGGAAAAGAGTTTCCATCTTGCAGACATCATTTCGGTTTCCTTCTCGTCAAAGCAACCGCACATGAAAACAATCGGACCTTTACTGGTTGCGGAAATTGGGGATCTCTGTCAAATACAATGTCCTTGGAAAAATGCGTTTTTGGCACAGGAAGATGCAAGATTTGGCCCTCCAACAAGAACAGCATATCCTTCCATGCCAAAATCTCAGGGCTCCATTTGAAATCATTCAAGAAAATCTGCATTTTCATAGCTCATTGTTGCAGGATTAGTGAAAGTTTGGAAAAGTTGGTTTAGCGGATTTAACAGGAATGTTTTGCCGCAATTTTCAGGGCATCATGTTACGGTTTTTTCCTCTTCCCTTCTCAAGAAGGTCATGAATAGCTGCAGCAAATACATATGCATTCACCTTGTTGTTTCTCAATACTTCTTTCTCACATTTAATCCAGATCGTATCACACCGATCAACACAATTTTCTTCTAATGCAGTTTCTACAACGGACATTCTCAACATGTTATGTCTTTCTAAAATTGTTGCAGCCATTTCAGTTTCCAGGCTGTGGCGATTAAATCATTTAATTTAACTTCTTTGGTGTTTGGTTATAAATTAATTGGGCGAGATCTGCCTTGCCTTCAACATCCTGCTGTTTGGCTAGAACCATAAGCTCGACGTCACTCTTGATCTCTTTGTCAATAATTGTTTTCCCAACATCATGTGCAGTCAAGCGACAATGTTTCAGGGGCTTCTCAGTTGTTTTAGCAATGCCAACCAGCATGACAAATTGGCCGTTTCAGTTTGACCATCGTCTCGCTTCTGTTTTGAAGATCTGCGCCAAATAGCTATAGCTCTCTTAGTTCTTGGAGCAGCGGCTGATTTCAAATCAGGATGACTCTCACTGTGCAATGCTTCCATGTCCATTTTTGTAACATACTTGTATGTGGTATAATAGTCATTGTAATTATTACTAAAATGGACAGAAATACCATGATATTCCTTCGATTTTAGCCACCTTCGAATGCTATCAAATTTTATTGACATGTGATAGTGAAAACCATGATCTTTGTGGGGCTCTCTACTGCACACCCAGTGTAAAATTTTGCTCTTTGTCTCACAAACAGAAAATGATTGTGCGACAGCTCATGCAAAAGAATCTCTTGTCAGAAATTTTTGGCTGTCCACTGGACTAGAAGTTATCAAATAGCATTTCCGGACTGTTCTTCTTGGTAGCTCAGACTCAGTGGTCATTTTTTATTTAAATCAACGCTGCGTTGGCAAGAATCTTGCAAATTCAAATAATATAGCTTTCTGTTGTATTAGAGTTCTTGGAATTTAGTGACATTTCTGAGTAATGAATTTCAAGAAACATTACATAATGACATATTATTATCAATATCAGTTCAATATCAATTATCATTTCACAATAATTAACAACCCCCCTCCTCCCCCGGTCATCAACAAGTTACTGTTCCTAACAGCACAAATCAATCAGAGAAATTTAGCACAGTTAGGCCTTTTTGACACTTTAAATCACATTGTACATTTTCAACAAATCAGACAATCTTAGAATTGTTGAGACCAAAAATCTAAATGACAGTTAGCATTTAATTATTGCATTAAATTGGATTCCACGGATTCTCAACACCCCTTTCTCCATGTCAATGTTGGTTTTTCTTGTAAAATATGTTACTGCGTTTGAAAATAAGCATTTTCACGTTGTATGCAACATTGATTCGGGGCAAGGGGGTTAAAAATATGAATTCTCCACAGTTTTGTCTAAGATTGTAGCTGTTCTGTCTCACTCTAAAAGTGGTGATATTTGATATTGCAATTTGGCGCGATCAAATCTTCGGCGCACAAAAAACAAACTTTCCACCCTGGGGCCCAAGCAATTTTACCCTGCAGTAGTTCAAATAAAGTATATTTGGAGTCTCGTGCTATGGGAGGTCTGGGGTATGCTTCCCCGGAAAAATATTTGAATTCTAGAGTAAGTAAAGTGCCATTTCCAGGGCTATTTCAAAGGTATTCTGGTGATTTTAAATGGCTATTTAACACATAACAACTGTACTTAATCACAAACGAATCCAGCGCATAAAATCATAGAAAATATCGAATTTCCCTTACATGAAATGAAAATATAATATACATGCTTGTACTGGTCAGAATCTTCTCGAGGGGGCCCAATATTTTACCAGGGGAGGGGGGCACACACCTTAAACTTTTTACTCCAGTATTTACAATTAACAAAGGTCATTCAGTTTTTGAACTATTACCGGAAAAAAACAAAATTTGTCAAAAAACCGTGGGAGAATGTTTGGTTTTTCTGAGTTATGAGACTTTACAAAAAGAGTTAAAAGGTTTAATGATACAAATTATGTAGAAAAATATCAGATACAATTGGAAATTTATTTTCAAGTACCCACGACTTACTTTAATTTAACAGTTAAAATAAGAATTTAAATGAAAACACTCCTTACATTGCATATCACAGGTGAGGTGTTTTTCTCATTTGACAACCCATGCCATTGACAGAAAAACCCTTGATACAGAAATGGAGTATGATGCCAACAAACAAACAAAATAACAGGAAATTTTATATATTTATTTATTCATATTTAAGTTAATCACATCATTTACACTATACATGTACAGTCATAGATAGGGGTATAAAATTACATGTACACTCATAGATAGGGGTATAAAATTTATTTTTTTTATTAACTTTACAATCATATTATATAAAAAATACACATACAGCTATGATTGAAGGATTGGACAACAGAACTAGAATCCCATACTAAGTCCATCCATCTAACACTAAAACACGACAGATTACGGACTGAACCTTGCAAATAATTTTGATAGTGTAGTGTTTATTCTTGCATGTTTATATTGTAAAATATGTGTTGTTAGGACTAAAGTCTGGTGTAAAATGGCTGGAGTCACTTTTGACTTCCATTACCGCTATCACTACCTCGCGCTGACCTGGTTTGCATGTAAGTGGTTCGTGGTTTCTTACTAGTGGTGGTGGTGGGGCTCAAAACTGAACCTCGCAAGTAATTTCACAGTAGTGTAGTTATGTATTTATTCTTGCATGTTTTATATGGTATAAAGGCCTGTAAAATCAGTATTTACGTTGTCCAGTTTGCAGATTTGACCACCACCACCATCATCACTAGTTGGAACCACTAACCACTTACATGCAAAACCAGGTCAGCGCGAGGTGGTGGTGATGGTAGTGGAAGTCCAAAAACCTCGCTATTTAACACCAGACCAGCTACGAACAGCAGGTGATATTGCTCGAGCAACATTTCAAGCAAATAGTTTTCCATGTCCTTGGACGCTCAACATCAAAGTCCGAGTTTAGTTTATTAAGATAATGAGTATATAGTTTGGATTTGAATATAGCACAAGAGTTCGATGACTTGATATGACTAGGCAGATTATTCCATAGTAGTAGTATTCTGTTAAAGTAGGATGATCTAAAGGTTGAGGATTTACAAAGGTTAGGTCGGCGTAGGTCGGATGAACTGAAACGAGTAGTGTGAAGGGAAGGTTGAGTGGAATATTGCTCTATATCTACTTCATAGCCACCAGATTTGCATTTATAGTAAAATGTTAGATATTTCGTTTCAAACCAGTAGGAGATTGGCAGTAAATTTAAACTTTTCAATCTGGAAGAGTACGAGGAATGGTAGTCTTGTGTGATGAACTTTGTTGCCCGTCTTTGAATGCCTTCTTAATGAACGAGGTTTCGCGATGATCCTTGGGGTGACCAAATCTCACTGCCGTAAGACAGTGAGATCTTACTAATGTCAGATATAGCAGGCGACGGGCAGTGGATATTGGTGAGCTGCATACAATGGCGTCTTAAGAATCCCAGCATTTGGTTGGCTTTAGCAACCACATGGGCAATCTGATTTGAACACTTTAAGTCATCACTGATGAATATCCCGAGGTCTTTTTGGATATTTACACTCTTTATGTCTTCATTAGCAAGGTGGTAATTGGCTGGCATAATATTCTTCTTCCTTGTAAACCGCATCACGCTGCATTTCTGCACGTTAAAACTAAGTTCCCATTTGACAGGCCATTCTTGAAGTGAGTTAATATCGCGTTGGAGCAATTGTTCGTCATCAGTCGAGGTAATTTGTCTGTAGCACTTACTGTCGTCATTTACACTATACATACATGTAAGTCATAGATATGGGAATAAATTGACAAAATTAAATGTAACAATAAATAATTATATAATCACCAACATAGATTTCCACTGAAATATGAAGCACGTCTGGAGAAATGGTAACAGGCTGTTCAAAGGGTACAGAAGGACAGCAGAATGGAAAGCTACACAACATAGTTTTATATGCAGTAACCACTTTGAGAGATACAACTGCACATTACTCCTGGCAGCAACTGGGGCATGTCGACTCACGAAAAATGCAATTCTGACACTATTTAAAATACCAGAATCAACTGAAATTCCAGAAGATGCTAGGAGTCGAGTAGCCATGCCCAACGAATTAACGAGCAACACAAGAAAATGCTAAATGCCTCAAATGTCATCACCTGCTGCAAAAGTTCTTTGAACTCAGAATGCAACAGAGTCTCATCTCACAAACAAAGCGCTGAAAAATAAAGTAAAGAATCTACAACAACAACTAAGTAGATCAAAAAGAAGATTGGAATCATAAAATCTGAAATAGCCGACAGATTACACACATCATTCAACACACTTCAACTTTCTATTTTTCACAATGCAAAGAACGGACAAAAGGCGCTTGTTGTGTATGGACGTCTAAATCCGAGCTCCTGAAGTACATATACATATAAATAAATATACTAGATATATTTAACACTTTACAGTAATATCTCGACTAAGATGTCAAAGGACACAATCAAATCTCTTAAAAAGGAGAACGACGACTTAAAGGCTCAAACCGAGTCTATAATGGAAGAACTAAAAAAGGTAAAAGATCTTGTTAACAGCAAAGAAATTAATATAGCAAAGGGCGACCATATTTGCTCGACTTCAAATAAAGAAACACTTAAGAGCTTAGAATATCTTAGCAAAGAATATGATGACCAGAAACGATTCACCCAAGCGGTAAAGCAACAGATCTCTCGCCTAGAAACCCGCGTAACTGAGATAGCTGTGAAGCTCGACAGTCTTTCCAACTCTATCGATGAAGTTCAGCAATACAGCTATCAATACAATATAAAGTTAATGGGTATCCCTGAAATTAAAGAGAATGAATCCGCTACCGAGACAAGTGTACTTTGTGAAAGAATTTTCAAAGCTATGGGCGTTCAAGTGTCACTGCTCACCGCGTGGCGACAAGAAACCCAAACAGCCGCCGACCAAAACCTATCATTTGCAAATTTGCATGACGCCTCGCACAAGAACAAGTGATGGCAAAGAGACGAGATGTACAGAGAATTACTCGGCTAGTATTGGACTTCGTCAAGATTCGTCCTTGATGGAAGCAGGTATATTTGATCATCTAACCCCTAGATTACAACAGCTTTTAGTAGATGCTAAGAAATTCAAAATTGAAAACGATTATAAATTCTGCTGGACGAAAAATTCCGTAATATATTTACGAAGATATGAAGATTCCCAGCCGATTAGAATCAAACAGCGAAGTGATTTGGAAAGATTGCCAACAGGAACAAATTAATTTTAATATAGAGATTAGTGACTGTATGATTAATACTCTCCCTATTCAAATAAATATGGCCACTGCCACCTTAAAGGACAAAACTCGTATGAATAAACGCCTACTACAAGAAATGCTGTTTTACGGTGTAAACTTTATTCAGTTTAGCAATAATTTAGATGGACGTCTACCGACAAAAAAACAATTGGACCGCTTAACTAGTATATATGATTTAGATCTGTTTGGTTTAAACAATGATTCTGAAATACACCCACAACCAGTGCGCTGCAAATATTATTCACCTCACAGCTTCGATCAGTTAAAAAATAGGTTAAATAATTCTAAGTTTTCCTTATTTCACAATAATGTAAGAAGCCTAAAAAAAATTTTAGATAACTTACAAACACATCTCTTAGATGAACTACATTATAATTTTAGTGTAATTGGTGTCACAGAAACTAGGATTAACCAAACAGAGATAAGTGATTTTAATCCCGCTTTACAAAACTATAATTTTGAATACGTTCCAACGCCTCAAGCTGCTGGAGGAGTTGGAATGTATATAGATAATGCCCTAAATTACACGATAATTGAAAAATGCACTAATGAGGCTTTTCAAGCGCTTTGGATTGAAATTATTCAACCGAAACATGCAAATATTATATGCGGTGTAATTTATAGGCAATACAATTCGCCGGAACGTTTTCAGGCTTATTTTGAAGAAACTATCGAGAAATTGTCGGCTTCTGGCAAAACTATTTGTGATGGGTGATTTCAACATAAACCTCCTCCGTTGTTGTTCATGTAATTTCGCACAAGATTTTCTTCTGTCTCTACAAAGCTTCAACTTGACCCCGACTATTGACAAACCAACGCGAGTGCATAAGGACTCCGCCACACTCATTGACAATATATTTTCAAATAACGTTGATAGCTCTATCCTAAGCGGTAACATAGTTTCTGATATAAGCGATCACTACTCGCAGTTTTGCATTACTTGTTCGGACATAGGTGTTAATAATAGTGAAAGCCAAACAAAATTATGTCGAGATTACTCAAATTTCTCTGAGGTTAAATTCAATACTGAACTTTCTCAGCTAGATTTGAGTACAACCATCTCAAGAACGAATGACCTTAATAAATCATTCTCAATATTCTACAATAAATTACAAAAACTAATCAATAAGCACACGCCCTTGAAACCAGTATCGAAACGTAAAAGTAAACAATTATCAAAACCATGGATAACACATGGCTTAAGGAAATCAATTAAAACTAAGAATGTATTATTTTACTCAGGTGATACAAGTAGGTATAAATATTACAGAAATAAGATATCACTTCTTACTCGTTTGAGTAAGAAAGCTTACTATACGAAATATTTTGAGGATAATCTTTTCAACACTAAGAAAACATGGGAAGGAATAAATAATCTCATCAACCGTAAAAGGAAGAGTAGCAAATATATAACATCTCTTAGATGCCCTAAAAGAAATATATTATCGTCTAATACTTCAGAATTCCCAAACATTTTTAAGAAACATTTTTCCTCGGTTGGCCATGAACTGGCCTCTAAAATGCCAAATTCCTCAACCTCATTTCATGAATATTTATCAAATTCCACTAATCTGTTTTCATTCGCATTTAATTATGTCTCCCCAAAAGAGCTTGAGTTGGAAATAATGACAATTCCGTTGAACAAATCATATGGTCTATATTCCTGCCCTGCACGTATTTTAAAATGCTCACGATATATTTTAAGTAGCCCTTTATCCGTCTTAATCAACAAATCTGTAGAATCTGGCATTTATCCAGATAAACTTAAACATGCTAAAGTTATTCCGATTTTTAAAAATGACGATGAAACCGATCCTTCCAATTATAGACCAATATCGCTGCTATCAATTTTCAATAGGATCTTTGAAAAAGTTATGTATAAGTGTCTTAAAAACTTTTTTGAGAAATACAATATGCTATATGAAAATCAATATGGCTTTCGCGAAAAACGTTCAACCCAACATGCCATAATTGACATTGTGAATCAAATTCAAACAAATATGGATAAAAACATGTATATGTGTGGTATCTTCATTGATTTACAGAAAGCATTTGATACAGTAAATCATGCCATATTATTACAAAAATTACAGCATTATGGAATACGTGGAATTATTGATTGGTTCTCGTCATATTTACTAAATCGCATTCAAACAACGCAGATTGGTACTGTAGTATCAGATAAAGAGACAGTGCTCTCTGGCGTACCTCAAGTATCGGTTTTAGGGCCACTGTTATTTCTTATTTACATTAACGATATATATAACTCTACCGATAAATTAAAATTCTCTTTGTTTGCCGATGATACCAATCTATTATATGCTGACAATGATCTAAGGTCCTTGGAAACTACTGTTAATCACAAACTAATCAAATTATATAATTGGTTAACTGCAAACAAATTATCTCTTAACGTTAAAAAATCTAATTTTGTCATTTTCCACTCTCACCAGAAAAGGTTAGATTATCAGGTAGACCTGAAAATATTCGACAATCATTCAAATACATTTAGCTCTCTGGAGCATAAAAATTATGTTAAATATCTGGGTGTACTTATTGATAGTGGCCTCACATGGAAAGATCATATCGACTATGTTGCTTTGAAAATAAGCAAATCAATTGGCATTATTGCCAAATTAAGACATTTTGTTCCAAGGAGTACTACATCGGATATATACAGATCTCTTATATTACCAAATCAAATCAAATCAAATTTATTTCCGTAGGGTATAACCTCTTCAGTAATATATCACTGGTATCAATGAGGGCCCTACAGTTAAAATATACATATACACATATATACACACACACACACACACACACACACACATATATATATATATATACTCTATTATAAGCAGTAAATAAGTCTAAGAGTTTAGCTTTAAAGCTAGGTAGAGATGATTCTAGGCGGACATGTTCAGGCAAGTTATTAAATGTTTTAGAGCCTCTTACAAGAACACTACGTTCTGAGAACTCTATCTTGGGACTAATAACTTCATCTCACTGTTTCTAATTGAGCGCTTAGGTTGATGAAGTGTGAAATACTCATTGAAAGGAATTGGAGCCAAATTATTAATACATTTAAATGTAAAAATTGATAGATGCATAGATCTCCTATCTTTCAGAGAAATCAGCTTAGTATCTACTGTGGGAATGTTATTACAAATTATTTTGTTTGCTTTATTTTGTAATCTTTCAAGTCTATCAGCGTCAGTTTGGCTAAGACAGTCCCAGATGAAGTCACAGTAGTCCAATATGGGGAGAACAGTTGCCAGATAGATGGTTAATGCGGTATGGGTTGTAATATATGGTCTAATACGTCGTAGTGCACCTATTCTTTTCGAGACTCGAGAGCAGATGTACTGTAGATGATCTTTATACGTCAGGCCACTGTCAAGATGTAGACCAAGGTACTTGTATACCAATGACGACTTTATATCAAGGCCATAAATTTGAACTTTTTTAAGGGTTCATTTATTGATCTCCGTTTGTGCGTCCCAAAGAGGACCGATTCCAATTTCCCTTGGTGCAGATAGATTTCATTGTTGATTGCCCAGTCTCCGATAATCTTTAAGTCCTCATTTAGTATATCGGGAATTTCAGCAGTGGTCTTTGCAGCGAAATAGATCACGGTATCATATACCTCGTAGGGTATTATTCTATGGGGTCAAGCTGCTAGGCTTTACCTTAACAAGATTTTTAAGCTTCAAAAGCGTGCTCTTCGATTAATGAACTTTGGGAAGTATAGATCCCATGCAATCCCTTTTTTATTTCTGATCAAATTTTACCTATCAATATGCTTTATTTTAAGTCTGTTTCTATGCTAATGCACGATGTTTATAACAAAATGACGCCGTTAAATATTTCAAATTTATTTATCCCGGCACGTGAAGTTAACAAATGTAACACTAGGTTCTCCTCTGGCAGCAACTTCTATGTTAAAAGTTCGCGTTTGGACAAGTTACATAGGTCATTTTCAAGAACAGGAGTCAGGATATGGAATAGTATATCTGATGATTTGTGTAATTCTTCTAAAAACAAATTCAAGAGAAAATTGCATGAGATATTGTTATCTATACTTACTATAGAGGAGGATTATGTTGATCTTGCTACAATAATAAAAAAATTTCAAACAAATTAAATTATAGGTAACCGCATATCTATGTTCTTACCTTGTTCCTTTTATTATTTTTTGTTGATGCTTATGCTAAATTGCAACTGCGTAATTTTAAATCACGTAATATTATTTCTCTTATAGTTTCTCTTATTATTCTTTCACCTTTTGTAAACTACATCTCAAATATTTATCCTTAATTTAATTATTTTGTAATTGTCCGCCTCGATTAGCTTTTGCTACCTGCGGACAGATTGTTATTGTAAATATTTATAGCTACAATAAAATTGTTGTTGTTGTTGTTGTTGTTAACAATACCACCATTTCTCCAATTGGCAGAAGATATACAGATGACATAAAAGAATTTGCTTCGACACTTTATTTTTACTCCCCAAAAGCTTACCAATATGTTTGCTCCATAATTCCTTTGCCAAACCCATCATGGATTAAAAAGTGGTCTTCCTCTGTGGACTCCAAACCAGGTTTTATGGCAATGGTATTTCAGTCGTTAGAAACAGAGGTAAAAAATTCACCAACAAAGAAGGACTGTCTAATGATCCACATGTAAGCAGACCATAGTTGACCCCAAATAGAAAGAACAGTATGTTGGATTCATTAATTATGGACCAGTGACCCCGAGGACCCAGGTACTCTGGCTACAGAAGCACTTGTATTCCTACTGGTTGGAACATGAACGCATTGGAAATGTCCAGTTGGCTACTTTCTGTGTGATAAGATGTCTGCAACAACACAAGCACATATAATTAGAAGTCATACAAGTCGTCACCAGCTTCACCCCACAAGAGCTCATGATGGTTGAGCACCTGGATGAAAGCGGGCATACCAGATTCATCGAAAATATACTATCCTACATTGGGGGATTCATTGTATCAAAACTGGTAAAGTTACTCACATGTTCAGCTTGTCAAATGTCAGACCGTGATTATTGTGGTGTTAATTCAGACGACTCCGGTTCAGCATTGTTCAGCATGTCACCACATGGGTAAAGTATATATAAACAACTTCAATTTTTTAATTTAAATTAGTTATTCCAAATGCAGTTTTTATCGATATTATTTTGTACAGAAACATGAACTTTACAAAACTCTGCAATCATTAAGACTGATTTGCATATAACACACACAAAGATAATTATTATGTTAGACTATTTCACGTTATTATTACATTAGACTATTTTTCACACTTGTTGTGCCAGCGACAACTAACGACCAAATGGAAACTAGCCTTAAGCAACCATCAGCATGCAGCATTTTCAATATATTATATATTTCAATGCGATTGTTTGATCTTTTATGAAGGTTGACAGCACAGATTAATGACACACATAACTGGTGTTTTGGCAAACTGTCATTTGATGGCTTGTGCATTTCTGGACAACTGTGAATTGCCACATGACTCAAATTTAACTATCAACATCTTAATCCGGACACTGCTACTATTTCAAGGGAAGATACGTATGCATGCATATAGACCTTTTGTATTATATTAAATTTCTTCGACTTTGCAGGTTTATATATGAAGCTACATATTAAATATTTCTATGCATGCCTGTGGGTTATGAAGCAGATGTCATGGCATTATAAGAGCTAGTTAACACTTATGCAAGTTGGCGGGGATAGATTTCCTTTAAATTTGGAAAGTCACAAAATTTCAAACTCGTATTTATACGAAATTTTTGAGCGGTTTTCAAGTTATCATGCAAGAGCGTTTAAAAACAGGTCAAAAATCTTAAAAATACTGGTCAGTATAACTAATCAGCGAAAACCTCTTCAGAATTTCTCTTATGTTGTCTTTAAGGTGTAGCTAATTAGTTACTTCGTCTAAATTATTTTGAAATTTAATAACATTTTTCTATTTAAGTGAGTATATTGGAGTGTTTTATCAAACATAGCTACTGTACGAAAAACCTATTGACATTGACGAAAGTAAATGCATGCATTAAATTTGCTTAAAAACTAACCCGCACTTCGCATGCACTGTATCCAAGCAAAACGAATCACCCAAATCTAATCACACTTGTCGATTACCTCTGATCCAAGTTAAATCGAAATAAGTTAAATGATAATAATATACATTCATGTACTATCATTCATGTATTTTTAATAGCTTGATAAACTGCCACCTGTTCTGTACCTACAAATGGACAACTGCTACTGCGAGTACAAGAATAAATTTGTCCTTGGATTCTTGGCTATCTTGGTGAAAATGGGTCTGTTCAGAAAGGTACTGTTCATATATTTTAGTAATTTTAATTTGTAGCCATGAATAATATAAATCATTGATCAGAATAGTAACGTTTTTGAAAATTAACCTCTCTCATTTTTACATTTTATTCAGATAAAGTACATTGACCAAATGTTCTCATGCTTCTCCCGTCATTTGGCGAAGCGTAGTGCAAGAACAATACCAGAGCTGTTTGCAGAAATGGAAAGTTCTTACACCCCAAAACCTTCATGAAAACAACTGCGGTGTATGTTTGATATTAAAAAGTGGATGGACGGTTATGTGGAGGTAAAATAAGTGGCCATGTCCATCAGCAACAATTCAAGTTTGAAATGAAAAATGGCGAATATACAATCGTCCAAAGCATCCCCAATGATTCACCGACCTTGATAAAACCATCCTTCCATCCATTAATTTTGACAAAAATCACACATGATCTCGTCAAATTTAAAGCAAAATTTGATGGCAGGACAATTGGTGGACAACGCTCATTAAAAATAATTTTGGAATCTGGAACTGATTTGCCAATCCCTTGGTGTCTAGATGGTCTACTCAACGTAAACCTTCGTCCACCTCTTCCAACTTCCGATCCAAGTGCTGATAAAAATGCTGACATGGAAATGAAAGCAACCGAAGCAATTGAGAAAATGCTTGAGAAAGAAACAAGCAATACTGAGGTAATATTGCAAATGATGACAGATGGACCATCGAAGTGGAGGTGATTATAAAAGCTAAGACGAAATAAATTTGCCTGCATGGAAGAAAAAACAGGCCACAACTACAGGTTCCTCTGTATTATGTTTGGTGTATTTCACAAAATCAGAATATCAATTCTCGATGCCCTAATATATATAGCTATATAAACTATAGATGTAAACACTGAGTGTAGTTCAATCTTTTCTCTATCTCTTAGATTAAAATTACTGAGAAAGGGAGAAAGAAATCGGAACCTTCAGGAGAAAAATATCAGCAACGCCAACAGCTAGGTCTTCAGGGAAAAGGAAACGAAAACAAGCAAAAGAAATGGCTTACATGCATGCAATGATATATAAAAAATTATTGGTATGTAGATCTTATGTACAAACATACATGCATGCAGCTATGTGCAATATGAGTGCGAATGTGCAATATGAGTGCGAATGATGGGGAAAATTCTTGTCTATAACATGTTAATTATTGAAGCGAAATTTGTTGAGACAACACTACATCGAGTACACATGCAGGCATATGCCTAAAAGCTTTAACATAAATTATGAACGTTTGTCTGCACCGCCACAGTATAGTCATAGATTCTTCCACTCTTAAGCCTGCAGCACAGGAAAGCTATGCCCATAAGGTTGAGCAAAAGATTATTTGTGTCGTTCCTCATGCATATATAATCAGTGTGTGCAGATTTTTGAATGTCACTGAATATAATAGGTCACTGATTGTTGTATCTTGTAATTATATGTATTTAATGCATATTTTCATTGTTTTGAACAGGTTCTTATATTCTACGACTACAACGGTCAGTAGAAAGTCATTATTGCGGTCAATCAGGTGGAACTGGAGGTCATTATTCTTAAAATAATAACCTCCTTTTCTGCCTCAATGACCCTAATAATAACGTCCTGTTCTATCTCACTGATTTTCATACATATGTTTTATTGCTTTTAATTACACTACAACAATCACATTTATTACAACGTTTCTTCAGATACCTCACTATTACTCATTTATGATTCAACAACATTTACAAGCTATCTTTACTTTTTTTCCAATCGTAATGTTACAATTTCCTCCACAAATATTTAAAACAATTCACCCGATAGCATTTGGATTTTCCTGGATCACTAAGCTATCTTCCTTTTCCTTACTTTTACGACACTCAACACCTTGAACTATTTTTGAAACTTCAACATGTTGCTTATCAGTTTTTTGTTTATAGCTATTCAGAGCTTCTGATCTATGCCCAGTAACACCTAATTAATTTTTTGTCTACACCTTCCTGAAATAATCTGGAGACAGTAGTCGCTCGCAAGGAATGATTTGTAAAATAACCTTTTACACCTGCCTTACTCACTCATCATGCATTTGACCATAGAATTTAGCTTATTGTGACCTAAATGCATTGCTGAAAACCAAATGCTTTTATCTTTAAACTTTTCCAATGGCCTTAAATAAAACCCTTTTATCATGCCTTCTTCAGGGCACCACACAATATATGTCTTAACAATATGCACAACACACCTTTCTCTACATTCAACATTCGCATAAGCCTTACAATGCCTTGGAGATAATTTCCTGTGTTTCAAGCCCCCTTGGTTCGTTTTAGACACCCCTTCACTATAAAGCAAGTAAGCCCTACCCATGCTATCATTGTGGAACGAAAAATTCGTCAAACTCAGCCTTCTGTGCTTGTCCCCTGCCCTCATACCATTAATTTAAGCCAATCAAATAAAACACCGTTCGTAATAGACTTTCCGGGTTTTCACTGCCTTTAAGATACCCTGCTCCCACAGCAATTTTTCAATTTCAACTGAAATAACCTCTGCTTGTTTTCGATTTAAACCCAAGTTGCTCTTAGCGGAACATTTCATTTCTATGTCTAACGATTTCCTTAGTTTTTCAAACTCTATACCCAAGAAAAAATTGACTTTTCTCCCTTTCAACTCTATGTATTTTTGAAGACAACTCATTAACTCATGCAATGTTTTTGGCGGGTACCGTATTCCTTGGTCCTTCCTTACTTCAGCAATGAATTGACTGAGAACTTCGTTTAAATCTTCCTCTGTCATCACATGTTGTTCCAAATGAAGCATAAGTATATCCCCAACCCGATATCTACTGCTTTCAGGCTTGTACACAGACCTACACCATTCCGCCCATACTTCATACAGTTGAAAAGCCCACATAGCTTTCTGTTTGGTGCTCTCTGGTGTAGATTGCGAAGCAAGATCAACCAAAGTTTTTTCTTCACCAATTTCAAACTGGTGGTCTCGTCTTTTGTCCTGATACATCGCTATATGAACAATAATCAATTTTAGGTGGTTTATTACTGCAGTATATAGTGTACAAATGCCAAGAAATCGACCAAATTCACTTATATAACTAGATGCTAACCTTTCCTACTTTTCAATTTAGTCGCCGCTGCGGATATAGAACCATAAGTCTCCGTCATGTCCGATGTTGTATTCTCTTAAACACTTTCACCTTCTTCCAACATGTCTACTGCCTGCGATAAAACATCATCCACACACGTGTTGACATGATTATCAACTGCCTTATCTAACATAAATATATACAAAGAATTTAGTACATATGTAAAACGGCTTCTCAAATTAACCCGATCAGATGCAGATGCTACATACACGAGTTCTAGTTGTCTTGTGTCGGAAAGTGTATTTGAAATATTTATGCCTGCATTGTTTTCTTTTACTTGTGCGTCGAATGCATATACGTATCAAATGCTATCTCACATTTTGCGTACACATGCACCATGCATGTACAAATAAATGAGAGAAAACAAATGAGCACAAGACAGTGTCTAGTTAAGTATGACCACAATGTATGCCTATAAAGAAGACTGAAAATCAAACAAAATTATATTATATAGGCATAATGTAATTTCATAATTGTAAATATTGCTTCCAAACGTAGTAGACTAATTTATATGTCGGCCTATCATCATGATCATTCATGTCAATTATTAATTAATGTATAGTGTTCATTTTTAGCCAAATGTTTCTGTCAACAAATTGAACTCCCTTTAAAAATCCTTACTTCCATCATGATACTGTCACTTTCATCACAGAATGCTTAGCAAAGTTGTCTCGTATAAAAGCCCCTAAAATCCTTATGCACATTGTCTCCCTTACTTGTTGAATGCATATTTTCACAGGTCTTTTGCACTTTTTGTGTATATTTCGTGAGTATACTGATAGCTGATTCAAAAATGTTTATTCCGACATTGAATTTTGTAACCCTACACGGTGACTCGTCATTTTAGCAAAGCGCACAAAATGATAATTTACTGCATTGATTATGAAGAAGGATCGCGCTAGTAAACTGGGCTTAATGGATGATTTAAACTTGGCTCGGAAGTTGGGATGGTATTGCTCAAGATATATACAAGGTAAAGGAATACTTATATTGTTTTCATGTGTTCGTTTGTAGTGATATGAATATATTTCTCTGCAACCAGCATATATGTATGTACGTACGTACGTACGTACGTACATACATATATGCTACGTACGTACATATATATATATATATATATACATATACATATATACATATACGTACATATATATATATATATATATATACATATACGTACATATATATATATATACATACATATATGTACGTACGTACGTACATATATATATATATACATATGTACGTACGTACATATATATATATATATATATATATTTTGTTTACAAAATAAGTTTTTGGTTTACAAAACACAAACAGTGCTCAATACCATATAGATAGAGCATATAATATAGTTTTTCATTTTACCTCAAAAAACCACAACAGTCTGTTTCATCCGTATAGGAATCATCAGGTGGTGAGTAATTGATTAAACAGGGTAATTTAGCATACTTACAACTTTATTGAAAAGGAAAGCAGTGCATTTTATGCAATAAATTAAAACAAAATTAATAGTAAATCATAGTAAATCAATTCTTCTCATTTCTTCAAACAAAAATTGCTTCAAAGGTCATTGTGTGAAACGTGATTTTCCAAATATACGCTGTTGAAGATTGAAATCTTGCTTATACCACTCCTGAAAAACAGCCATATGTTTGAGATCAGTGAGGTCCACCCATGAACCATAGTCACGCGCCTGTGATTACTGATGAACTTTAGACTTCGCCAGTGGCGTTCCTGGGCCATTTCTAGTGGGGGGGTGTAGCATCCCATTTTTACCGACGAAAAGGGCGTTTCCCTTTCCAATTGTCGAACATTACAATACAAATTTTTATAGGATAAAAGTTGTAATTTGAGTATACATATTTGGTAATTTTCAAGTATGGTACCTATTGCACATATCATATACCTTAGGAATTAATTAATAATAATTTTAGCAAAACTAGATTTTTATCATTCTTGATTTATATATAGACCACGAGTTAGCTACTTTATCCAACTCAAGTTCGTCTAATATATCTACAGATGAAGATAAAATCATCAAGTCGTCAAGACGGTTTTCTTTCATCGTTGATCGCAAATAGCTTTTAACAAGTTTTAGTTTACTAAATGAACGCTCATTACTTGCGACAGAAACTGGAATTGTTAATGCAAGCTGGTACGCTTTCGTCAGGTTGGGATAAAACTGTTGTTTTCCAAGTACACACTTCGCTGCTTCCTTCAGATTTTTGGCACCACTTTTCTCGATATCGGAAGATATTAACTTAATCTCTGCACACATAGCGTCTGGATCTTTGAAGTCCTGTGGAAATGCTGCGCATAAATTTTCCACTTCTTGCTTGGAACAATTGGGTAAATTTGCTGGAAGCAAAATAATTATAGGTAGCACAATATCAGATAAATATTCATCAATTTCGTTTATGTCCGATACAAGACGATCTAATACCTTAAACATTTCTTTCCGATAGTGTTGGCTAAAGCTAGGCACAGTAGCAGTGGCAAAATTTTCGTCGAAACGGGCAGGTGCTCTCCGTGGTCGGTGTCGTTTTGAAAATTCGTACTCCACATTGATTCCATAGGACTCGCATTTCTCGGTTGCTGCTGATATAATTCCCTCCATAGCAACATCATTTTCGCGCATGCGAAGCATTTCGTTTCGAGTTTGCTGTAGTACTTCGACACTTGCTAGGATATCTTGCTCGATTTCTTGCACTTCCATCACCACAATCTTCGCTTTGTAAAGCACATTCTTCATAAACAAAAGACTGACATAAAATTCGAATGACTTTAATTTGTCTAATAAATTTGTGGCGGTCTTTTTGGCATCACCATCTGTTTCATCACACTCGTGTATATCGTGAAGAGTGCCAATCATCGTTTCATAACTGACCCATACAGCTTTGATTGACTCAGCTCTGCCAATCCATCGAGTCTGCGAAAGATTCTTCATGATGAGCCCTTCCTGTAAACTTTCGATTTTGCTCTTTAATTTTCCGAATCTACTTGTGCTTTTTGTTAGGAAGTTATAAAGCTCTTGCAATGTGGTAAAAAACTCCTCGATCATAACGGAAGATTTACAGGAATATTCGACGCAAAGATTTGTTTTATGACCAATGTAGGGTATTTTTCACTCCAAATGCTCACTTAACTTCGCTTGTTCCCCATTGTAAACCCCGGACATCGATACCGCCGATACGGGGCTTACCGCAGTGTGCCATGTCATTGGCCATTTGGCCCACCCACAAATAATGCAAATTCACTAGATGTTTACACAATCGTATCGTGACAGTTTGCTTTTTCAAAACGCTTTAACAAAATGCCAGAAATGAGTAAGATCACTAAGATGTGCTGTACGCGAGTCAGCCGACGCGTATGCATCATAGTAGGTGACGCGCTATGTGTACAAGTTTATTTTTAATTTACAAAATTTGTCACACAAGAATTAGACAAGCATAAATTACGTAGTACTTTTATACATGAAAGATGTTGAGTTAAGGCGATTATATTCTGATTCTAAATGTGCAAATTAGTTTATTATTTGTCTATGCTTTATATTTTAGTGCTTATATATAATTAATATATACATATAATTTTTGTTCATTCAGCTAAAAGCAATTGCGCGAAAGAACCGACGACCGTAACGATTTTGAAATGCGATGTTGTATAATTTACACAAATACACAATACGGTGAGCCGGTGAATGCTATTAAATCGCGCATCGATTATCGGATTATATATTATATTATATTATTGTTGGCAGATACATTACGCAAATACAGGATTAGCGCAGCGCGTGCTGACGCAATTTAACCGACCACAGGATATCAATGTAAAACCACTATCGAATAACGTATTTCTCAATAAACATTATTCTGTTAGACATGATCGAGCATTTAATCGCCAGCAGAAATCTTGAATTCTTGATTTACCAACGAAATACCAGATGAAATTGCAGAATAATTGCTTCAGTTTTAATAAATATTTTGTTACTTCTCATTTTAGTATTTTACCGACGATGAATTAACTAGTTTACCGACAAGCCTTCAATTTTCCGATTTTACCGACAAACTAAGAGAAAACTGGGGGGGTGTAACACCCCCCCACACCCCCCCGCCCGGCACGCCCCTGGACTTCGCTAATGTTTTCCTTTCCTGGGTGTAAATAGCCAGGAGGAATTAGTACCCTCTTCCCCGGAATAGAGCTCCGCGCTGTTGGTTCGGGGATTAAAACATCCACAATCCTTAACGTCAAATGCAGTTTGTCGACAACAACAACATGGTCAAGGTCAATGTGTAATAATGGCTGTCTAGCACTACAATAGTTATTTTTAGCTTTACCAGCCACGCCAATGATTTCTTGTATTGTGCACTTCAAATGGTGCTGAGTTGTAATGACTGAGATCATAGGACATTTTCCATCTCATCCTTATGGACTTTGCACCATATGCATAAATGATTGCAAATAGCATTCAGCAAACCAAGAACCATTAGGAGGAATTTGTAGTCCCCACCCAATAATATCTCGAAGTTTATATTCTTATCACCTACTTTTATCTGTTTCACTTGGTTTTAAGTTATTGATGTTATCAAATACTACACCAAAAGCCTCTCTGAGAACCTCATACTTTTCTGCTCCTTTTACCACTGCAAAACTGTGGTTGCCCTTTGAAAAAAAATGTGCTCTAGTCATTTGGGCTCCATCAGCTGAAAATTTAATCTTCACTGGATTTTCATTGAAAATCAACCTGGCATCCTTCAAACATGCCAGGTGTCTTTGAAATTGACAACAATTTATTTAGTGGATCATATATTTGTTTGACAAGGTATGACTGTTGTAATGAATCATTCAGCATTGTTATTTCATGATATAATTAATCGCTCACATAAGATCTGCCGATCAGAAACAAAGTTTGTTCGACCTTGTTCTTTTCAGTATCAGAAAGAGCATCAAAACGATGCAATACTGTCGCACTTAATTACTTGTGAAATTTGACAAGTTGTGTTCTTTTATTGCTATATTACTATTAATAATTTAAGTTATATATCAGCCAATTATAAGAATATAAAATTAAAGAAGTGGCTGTATACGTCCAAAATCCATATGAATTGTGAAAACATATTATTTCTTCTGAGGTGGCATAGGTCAATGAATCTTAAAATAAGATACTAACCCTCATGAAATTCATACAGCTCGTTAAATTTGTCCACTTGTCACTAACGTTTTACAAGTGGTGCCTGGTCAAATGGTAAATGGACCCGTTAAATTTGTGCAATTTTACGACGCACGTCTACTAGCGATGAACGTTTCACAACCAAAGTCTCATGGTTTAATCGTGACTATAAGACACACACTTTTTTATGTTTTCTCATGATCTCACGATTAAGTCCCCAAATCTCACAATTTTCGGCAAAATCTCTGCTAAAACCACAAGTGATTTCAAACACCCATGGAAAAAAGAAATATGCTATTATTTTGTGAGACTTGACAGTGGAAGCTACTGAAGCCATCAAGAAAAAACAGCCTAGTTTTAACATTTGTCATATTGAGCAAACCTGAAAATCTCACGATTTTTCAGTCAATCTCACGACTTTTTAGATAGTAATTCACTATTTCTGCTACTCACGGGTTGGCAGGTCTGCAACAACATCAAAGACCTTGTTTAGACTTGTTAAAAACATGAAACCGCCTTGTCTTTGAGTCCAGCTCAGTAAAATAAATATTGTCAGACATTGTTTGTAGTGTATACCTATAAGGACCACATGACAAATAAATTTATAGATTGCCAGAAATGTATTTTGTTATTTTGTTTATATACCTTTCTATATAATGACTGCAATGAACTACACATTTCCCTGAGAGATTTGTCAATTTCGTTCCTAACTACAGGACTATCACAAAATGCAAATACACCAGCAGGGATAGAGCTTTCAAGAAGATCAAAATAACTTTTCCTTTGCTGAGTTTGCTTGGACCCAGACAATTCACTACCAAATTTTTTAAAACTGGGTATGGAATATCAACAGCAAATAAAGCTTTCCTAGCACATAGTCAACCTATTTGACACATTTCAGAGACAGACTTTTGATATTTAATTTAAATTGCAAATAACCTTTCGGAATATTAATATATCTGACATTCTGTCAAGCCAAACTTCACAAAGAATTCGAGCCTGTTAGTCTCCCTAAGACAGTGGTTATCCGTTAAAAAGCATGTAATTATAAACATGGCAGAGATGAAGGGAGAACGAAATAGAAAAGTCTTTACTAGTGAATGCTGTGTTCATTTGAATAGGAGAATTTTTGTTCAGTTTTTTCCCGAAAACGGTTGGTTCATTGGAAAAGGCCTCATTAGGGCACACTGTGACTCAATGGTTTAAACTTATATATACATTTCTTGCAAATTTGCTTAATGTATATCCTACCAATTTATAACTGTTCAATAGATGTAAAAATAGTAAAATTATTTTTACAGCTTTGTTACACATGTAGTTATTCAGCCACCATTCAAAGATTTTCAGGAATTTTTTGGGAGAGGGGGTAATCACCCCCCTTGTACTGTATAATAAGAATATTTATATCAGTAATCTATGTAGTTGTACTAGTCTTACATGATATTTTCTCCATTTCCATGACTGTTTAAGTGCTCATGAGTGTAACATACAGTATGGTTGCAACATGCTTTCAAGTGTTTAATGGCTCAATGTTATGTTGCTCCATAAGGCCACATAAAATAAATTGCTTGATTCTCATCACTACACTTTGAAAATGTCGATGAGGCGGGAGGTTTATATTTTATATTTATATAATTTAATATATATCAATATTAATAAAAGTGTCACAAACTGAAATAAACATATTTCTCCACGAACAATTAATGACTGGCCCTTGAACTGAATGCGAAGTTCTGTTAAAATGCAATGAAATTTCTTTCAAGGTTCTATTTGTTTGAAATTGGCAGTTTAAAATGGCACTAAGAACCCAATATAAAATATAAAAAACTTAACTGTCTTGAAATATTTTGTCGGGCGGTACTTTTATATTGTATAACAAAATATAAAAAAATTTCACACAGCTCTTAAAATACAGTCGGGCGGTGATGAGAATCAAGGAATTTATTTTGTGTGGCCTAATGGGACTTTTTGCTTGACAACATGCCTCTAAAGCCCGATTCACAGTTAGTGATTTTGTTGATGATTTTCTCATCCTGACAGATTCAAATGAGTGGGCTTGCACACAATTGGTTTTCACAAGTATATGCTTCCACGCTTTTACATGTTACTCATCTAGTCGTCACCCCCCCCCCCCAGCAGAAGAAATATTTGCCGACAAAAGATTTGCTGACTGAGAACCTGAATTAAGATCATCTCAAAATACATCTCAATATGAAGATGGCTTACTTCCACATAAACACATTCTAATTTTATCCAGTAATTATTTGACAGAATACTAAGGACAATATTCAATATATGAATAAAACATATATGCCACCATACTGCATAATATCACCAAAATATTTACAAATAAAGTAACCTTGGATTTGTAAACATTGCATTGCCAGTATATATAGGTGCCATATAACTAATGCATACATGTCATAAATTGTTATACAATCTAAATTCACTTAATATACCAACCAGGCAGTTACATATAATATTATTTCACATTGTAACTTTATCACAAAGAAATTATACTGAATCGACTGGATATATTAAAATAATACATACTGGATAAATAAAACATTGCTAATATTTCACTGTAATATATATTCGATCACAATAAATTTACATATACACACTTTGCATACAAGTAGTTCTAAATATTTAATAGAAATTAGATTCAGTCTCACCTTGCAGGTATTATATTTAGCAAAGCCCTTATATAAAGCGCAGGTCTATCTTTCTGGACGTTCGTATATGTTTTCTATTCCAACTTTGCTTGCTGTCCTCCCGACCACAATGTTGATTCAACAACAAAATCTCGCTTAAAACGTCTTCTTGAGAGTTTAAGCACCAAAAAATTTCACTAAACTTCGTACTAGAAGGCATGTCGAACAATGCACATGGTG